CTCTTAATAATTGATGTCATTGAGTTACTTTGAAATCAAAATGAAAAATATATGGTTTTGTAAAAGTTGAAATGAAATATTTTAGGTTCATTTGGTTGGCAATTCATTCCTTTCTTAACCATTTTAAATAAATAACCAAAATTTAATGTAAACAATTTTAACAATTATAAAACAACTCAAATATTTCAAAAGAGAAAATTATTTACTTAAATACATATAAAATTAATACATTTATATATTATATTAGAGTATTTTTCAGTTTATTCAAAAAAAGATAAAAATGAGTATTCTAATGTATCTTTTTAACTTTTTAGTGCTTTGGTGCCTAATTCATTTGATTGTATTCTTTGCTATTTAGCTGACACTTGTTATTCATATTTAGTGGACACTTGTGTTATTTATAATCACTAAAAACTTGTCATTCATGCATGAATAGATAAAATTAATATTTGAATAACCGAACACCTATATAAACGTAAACTTCATACAAATATGTGGTATGACATTTTTCAGTATATAAAACTTTGTGCTTTATAACTGTTTTATAAAGAAAACAATATTAAATTTTCAGTAAAAAATTACAATAACACTCTTATAAGTTTCACTAAAAAGATAATAAAATTTTTATATTGTGTTTAAGAGATCTAGAGAGAAAAATAAATATTTTTAAAAAAAATATATATACACGAAAGTAGAAAAAGGAAATTATATTTTGTTTGAGATTTTTGGGAAAGAGACAAAAGAGAAAAGCAATGACAAGTACAATGGAATGGCATTTCATTCGGGTAGTATGTCTTTAAAATACTTGTTCTTTTATTTGGTTACTTTTTGAGCATAAAATAGCCATTCTTCAAGAATGATTATTCCTTAAAATCACGGAATACATATTACCACCTCCCTCATGGTGATAACCATTCTAAGTTCTAGGGAATAAAGTTTTAAATATTTTGGACAAAAATACCTTAATTTATTTATTTAAAAAAAATTACTAACCCTACACTATAATTTTTTTTTTCATTTCCTTTCTTCTATCTCTCACCCCTTCTTTCTCTAAGAAAGCTTCATGCAGTGTTCTTCCTCCACAATCATTGTCAACACCGCCAGGTCCTCGGTCATTAACTATTGGAGAAATGACCTAACGTTTTAAGAGCATCAATTTGGCTGAAAGTATGGTAAAAAACACGATTAGGAATACCAACAACAACATTAACACCGTCACAAGGATCCAATCATCATCCCATCAACACATAAATATTATTTTACTCTAAAATAATCACCAAAGGGCATGCATGAGTCTCTTAATCTGTTGAATAGCAGATGGTATCTCAAACCCATAAGTATAAATGCCTCTTAGAAGGTTTTCTTTCAAATCCATTTTACCAAAGCTCTCACAGACCTCATTATAAGTAGCAAAGAACTTTTTTCCTTCTTTAGAAAGCAATTCATTTATTTTGGTGTTGAGTATCATATTGTTGATCTGTCAGGTGTGAGTCTAGCCATTACTGTTTGTCTTGATTGTCCTCTGAGAAAAGAAAACAAAGGAAGAAAATAAAAAGAAACAAAAATAAAAATTTATATTAATTATTTAACATTAATAATAAAGTATTGATGTTTAATGAAAATAAAAATTAAAATATTAAAAAATAAAAAATAAAATAAAGAAAATTGATTCAAATAATTAATATAAAAAATTATATTACAAATTTAATAATTTAATAATATATTAGAAATATTAATAATTTATATTAGTAATTTAATAATAAATTATTGATGTTTAACAAAAATAGAATTTATTTTTATTTTTGATGAAAATAAATTTTATTATAATTAAGGGTAATTTTATTATTTTATCATTTATATATATATAGTGGAAATAGAAGAGCTTATTACATCATTCTAAATCAAGTAACGTCTATAACATCAGCTAGTAAAAGAGAAACAATGCTAGAAGGAAGAGACTTAAACACACTAAGTCTTAAGGGTAGATTATCATGATGTATGGCCATCCAATTAGCACATTGATTCGCTTCACGAAGTATGTGAAATATTCTACAATTCCAATCTTGTAGAAGTAATTCTTTTATGTTCCTTAGCAAATGCACATTCGAGTTTAAAATATTACTTTCCATTGACAATTTTTGTATAAGAGTCAAACTCCACTTGAACCTTCCTAAATCCCCTTCTCCAACACAAATTTAAACCTTGGAATATTGCCTATAGCTCAGCATTTAGTGAAAAAGTTATACCAATTTTATAAATGAATCCCAACATCCATTTTCTCTTGTCATCACGGATTATTCCACCTACTGCTGCTTCACCTACGGATTATAGACAATCATGATTAAGACAAAAAGTAAATTTGCATGAGAAGAAATTATAATAGAGATGAGATTAAGTAATATTATTAGAATTCTAATTTCTAAGAATGATTAGAATTGTAGATAACTTAAATAATTAAATTAGATTAGAAATTAAATTATTTTAGAACTTTGCTAACATGAATAACATATATCCAATTCTTTTTGAGTAATATATACTGGATATGCTAACATGATTTCTTTAATTAGTAATGCAGCATATGCTAACATGCAAACAAAAAAAAAAATAACCAAGTTAAAATGTTTTTAATTGAAAATTATTAAATACAATTAGAATTCTTATTTATAAATTGGTTAAATTTTATTAAATTTATAAAAATTAAAAATTATTAAAATAATTATCTAAAAATATAATGAACAAAAGCATTAATTTTTGTTAATAAAAATTTTTATTAATATCCGTGCATATACATATATATAAAATAGAGATAAATAGACTATAAATAACTGATATATTTCTTAATGAGGAAATTATGAGGATAACCTTCCTTATGAGTTTAATTCAAAAATATCATTCATTATAATCTTAACTATTTTTAGTTAAATTTTGATATGATTTGACAACAATGCTCTTAAATAATTTCAAACAAATTAAAATGGTTTCAGTTTTATTTATCTTGCTATCCAAATAAAAATTTTAAAATTGTTGGTTTTTAGGTATTACGTGACTTAATTGTTGCGCCTCTAGTTTTTAGGCATTGTGTCAATAGGTTGTAAGCATTACATTACTTATTTTTAGGTAATGCCTAAGTCACATAGTGCTGAACAACTAGTCACGCAATGCCTATCAATCAGTCAAGTAATATTTAAAAACTAATCACGCAATACCCAAAAATTTATTACGCAATGCTTAAAAACCACTAAAACTACTAAATTCTATTTAACAAAATCAGCAATTTCAAACAACACACCATATTCTATTTAATAATATAATCAACGAATATGCCTATTTGGATAAAAATGCTCATAGTGCTTAAAAGTTTTTAATCATATATTAAAAATTATTTCAAAATACTTAAAATGCTCAAAGCAGTCTACGGTTTTTCTTCATATATCAAAAATTATTTCAAAATACTTAAAATGCTTAAAAGTTTTTTTTCTGGTAAAAAATATTCTAGAGATGAATGATTTAGTGAGGAAAGGTTAAAGAATATGCGTCGGTTTGAGGTGCGGATCTAAACATATGGATCAGTTTTATTAAGGATAATTTTATTCAAAATTAATTTTTCTTAATTAAAAATAATTAAAATTATAGAGAAAATTATTTTTAAAAATACTGAGTATTTTTAAAATGAACCCTTTCTTAATGATATGTAATTGATACTTTGATTGTGGGTTTGGCATTGCTTATAAAAAAGGAGAAATAAAATCAAACCAAACCCAATCACATCAAATTCATTCTTTAACTCAGTTTTATTATTATTTAAATTAACCTAATCGTGAATCCTCTTAAAGTCACATTCACAAGTAGAAAGGCCAAAGGGGAGTTTGTCCAACCTTCCACCTGTCTACCGTCTAATCCTTCTCCACTTCCCTACGGCAGGCAAAAGAAAAGAAAAGAAAAAAGAAAAAGAAGACAAATCTCCACATCCACAAGTTTTGACCAGCTGTTTTTCCCTTGTGGAACATGCATGCTACTGTTTGCTCATAAAAAAGGTTCATGGGGGCCTGTTTAGAGGATAACCTTGGTTCCATGATTACTTAGTGTCTATTAATTAACAAATGAGTTGGTCTTGACTCTTGATTTCAGCTTTGTATTCATAGGTTTCTTCATCCGATGTGCATATATTAGTATATAGACTTTTCTAATGATAAAAAGTGTAGACTTATACGTGATTCTGTAATAATTTTTAAGTACGAGTCAATATATTTAAATTTTTAACTTTTTCTTATGGTTTTGCTCTAAAATAATTTTCAGTGAAAATTTCTTTAAAAATCTATAGGAATATGAAAAAAATTAATTTCGACAGAATTTGGTCATAATTCCATAAAAAAAGTTAATATTTAAGATCTTATATGATAATTTTTTTTTCTTGTAAAGTAAACTGAAACATCACATCAATGGCAAGCTAACTACCCTAGTCACAGGGGAACAAAGTTAGGGTTTACGAATGAAATTTAAACAGGTAAAAAAGAAAAAAAAAGGAGAGAACAATATGCATAAGAGGGAAATGTTTATTACTTATTAAGATAATGTAACATCTTTGAGCCTGCCCTAACTTATTTAGTTGTTATTTTTCTATGAGTCAATGCTATTCAGAACTCATCATATAGGCATGTAGTACCACCAGACTTCCTTTTCCTAATGCTTTTATTTATACTAATTTTCCATTTCCCCTAGACAAAGTGGGGTCAACATGAGGCTACTCTGATTCTGATAGACTATCCTTTGAGTGTACCATGTGCCTCCTTTTTATTCTTTTCTCTGCATGTGTAAACAGGCCTTTGCTTACTTCATCTTTTCTTTGGATTCAGCTCTCAAATCCATACAGATAAACCCAAATTTAAAAAAAAGGAAAAGCAATCTAATAAAGCTACCATTGTATCTATCTTCATGTTCCTTGCTTTGTCTCTGGTCTTTTCACTTTCAAAGTTCACTTAGCCTACCATGCTTTACTCTTCTTTCATTTCATGGAATTCCCGTAATCCCCAAATTCCAAGTCACCCCACATGTAGTTAACTTTGATTTGTAGGACCCTTCCTCCATGTAGTTTCTTTCTTTTCTTAGGAGAATTTACAAAAGCTTGCCTAGGATATTCATTTTGTGCAGTGATGCACATTCATAATCTAGTCATCAAAGCAACAATATTAGCATATAATGGTGGTGGGTCAGTGTGCAGGGAAAAAAAGTGGTGAGGAATCTCTTTGCAGTTCCCCTTCCAAAATCCTGACTTTGCTCATCTTCTCTTCACACCAATGCAATTGTTCTTCGCTTAGATCACTCATTCTCAACACCCTAGACACCACTTTTAGGTCAATTTGACCCATCAATATCTCCATCTCTTTCTCCACCTTCAGTTTTCTTTTCCTTATGCATTTGTGAGCCCGGCGGAGGTCTTTAAGCTTCATCTTTTTCTGCAATTAGAGCAAAAGGAAAGGCGAAATCTGATTGCTACCCATCATTGGGATAAATATATAAAAGCCAAAATGTAAGGGAAAATTTTAATTTGAACTTACTTTAGTATTAACTTTTTTCATGAGTTGGAGAAGTGTTGGGTCAACTGAACCTCTTCTCTTCCGCCCAAAGAATGCTTTAATGATTTGGTATGGTTTCTCCTTGTCTGCCTTGAGAAAATTCATGAAGGTCTGAATTCCATCTTCCATTATCACCAGAAACGAATCTGCTGATATTCTTGAGCCAAAACCTTCATCCCTTTGATCATCCTCATAATCTTCATATTAAAAAATGGAATGAAAGAATGTTAGGTATAAATGTAGATTCATTTTGCTTAAAATATCAAACAATATTAACAAATCTTCACTCCTTTATTATCTTTTGTTCTTTCCAGGATAGTTTAATGAATACCTCGATATTCAGGAACCAGAAGCAACTTCGGTGCCAAAAGCCTCATCCTGGCATACACCTCGGGTCGGCGGCCTTGCTCATAAGGCTCATTTTCGATGTATCTTTGTAAAAGAACTTGGAATTGCTGACACTGCTGAGCAATGCTCGCAGGACAGTCAAAATCTTTGCGTGCAGCTTTTTTACGTTCGAAGTTCTTGTAATTCCAGTTTAGAGCTTCCCAAGTTAAGCAAATTTGAGCTACATATGCTGCTTCTAGTTCATGATATGGATTGTGTCTGATATCCGATGGCTTCTTGTTCATTGTCGCAAACTTGTGGACTAATCTCTCTGATATTGACCTTGGACAAGCTTGGATGGACCGCAGTGACTCTGAAACAATGTCAAACCAATCAAGAAAAAGGTGCATTGCTGTAAAAATTTCCCAAGTTTCAAACAACTGGTACATCAAAATGCATTGAAGTTTGTTGGAAAAAAAATCATATTACCTGTTTCCTGGAGCTTCTGTGCACTAATTCTGTCTAGGAACAGCATCTCTTCATCATATTTTTGAAACACTGTGTAGGACTCCCACTTGGGACAACTCCTTCTTGAGGAAGAAGAAAATGGATCATCAGTCCCTGAATCTCTACAGTTTATTGAGCTTCTCCACTCAGAGGAGCTCTTAGAAGTAGAGCCAATAGTGCAAGAGTCACCATAGATTTCTTCATCATCCTTTTCATGAACTAGTAACTTCTTAGACTCCAATTTCTTTGGTTCAATAACAAAAAACTTGTCATTTCTTGAAAAATCTGTTACCACCCCTTGTCTGATTTTTTGATTACTGCAAATTTCTGTACCAGCATAAGCAATATCAGGTCGAGTGAAAGCATCAAAACGACAAGCACAAGATGTCATGATCAGCAGAAACAAATAAAGTACAGCATGTGATACTAAGCATAAATGCACATACCAACACCATCTTCATCGTTGTCCACCTGATCATTGTCCTGTTTCGTGACTATTGGTGAGACGATGGGAGTGGGACCATCTTGATCATTTACATCAGAATTCTGAAGTGAATCAGCATCTTTTGTTGGGATCTCTCCATCCAGCAACTCTGTGTCACCATCATCATGCTCAGAATCTGAACAAGGTGATGAGTCATGAGCAGAAAACTGTTCAGTAGTATAACTTGCATATTCTTGATCTTCACTTGTCAGCTGATGATCAGGGGAATTATTGGATGCCTCAGCACCATCATTTTGAATCCTTTGAAGGCAGTTGTCTGGCAAGAATAAAAGTGATTCACCCCCATGAATTATGTCTGCCACCAGGTGATCTTTCTCCATGCAGTTCACCCTATAAAATCTGTCAGCATATTCTTCTTCTTCTTCTTCTTGCTCTTCCTCTTCCTCAGAGAACATACTGTAGTCATATCCATTTTGATTTCTGCAAAGAAAAGAAACAACATCAACATTAATGTAAAGCAAAGAAAAACAGGAGGAGATTTGCTGCGTGATACTAGACCTTTGGATGAGAGGATAACTTCCAATGAAGTAGAAGAGCCTGGCAAGCAAGATGGATGAGGAGTATAGGAAGAGGAGGAGGAGCAGGGAGGAGCTTGAGAGGTTGTAAAACAATCTAACCAGAGCTTGCTCTGAACATGGCATATTTTCTTGCCTTCGGCGCTGCAAAAATGAGCTGCCAACAACTCCTACTCAAAAGCAAAGTGAAGTATTGGTTAAAAGAAATGTTCCATATCATATCTTCCAAATTGGACTAAAGTGGTCTCCCATTCCATCTTCCTTAAAATGTCTAATCTGTCCTGCAATGTCAATTTTACCTCAAATCATCAACTGCAAATAGGTAGGGCAAATTCGTCATCAAATTATTGCCAACCATATTTTTTTAATAGTCAAATTAAGACATAAAGCGTGTATATTTTAACTTTCTTTCTCATTTTGAGGGGATAAATCCTAGTAAATTTGGTTAAAACTTAGATAGGAAGGAATTTCTTGATTAATCCAATGTACCTATCATTTTATAATATTCAATTATGTATATAATTAACTATTCATGTTAAAACATTTTATTCAGTTCCTTATTAACTTCGCATGAGAATAACACACTATTGGCTTGTTTGGTTAGAAAGATGGCTTATTCTTATTATTTTGTTTGATTTGTCTTTATATTAAGAAATAACTATTCTTAAAAATAGTTATTTCTTAAAAATCCATAATAATTAATATAGAACTCTCCTAAATAGTAGCTATTCTGGGTGTGCAAGAATAGACTAAAAAAATTATTGAACAAAAATACCTTACCTAAGTTCAAACATCAAAATCTTATATATAGAGGAAACACTTTTTTTCATTTTTCAAATTTCTCTTTCTACTCATCTACCTCTCTCTTTCGATTTTTAAATTTCCTCTACCACCGAAGGACGACAAAGACATTGATGTTTTCATAATCAAATTTAGCCATGAAAAGCGTTAATCTGACATTGACGAATTAAATTTTTTACATTAAAACTTTATTGATTATACGGTTCAACAAAATAATGATCTTACAAATTATAACAATTTGTAAAGATTAATTGGTTTTGCAATGCTTAAAAACTCTATGAAGAGGTAGTGAATCCATGGGGGTTCATGGTTTTCTTTTGGCATGTGGAGGCACTGCGTAATAAAAGCAAAGCAAGAGGAATCACTTGGAATACTCTCAGGCATTAAAAGCATAGAAACCTTGTATTAATCTAAGTATACAAGTAGTAGTATTCAAAAGCAGAGAAAAATCCTAGTCTATGATCACAACAGAGATGAAAAGAAGAGACCAAGGACCAAAAACCTGCCTACACGTGTCTGTAAACAAGAATGGCTTTTTTGCTTTATAAAAGAATTGATAATATATATTAGAATCGTGTAACATAATCCAATATCAATAATTTTGGGGGTCTTTATTTTATTTTATTTTATGTTAATTCGATAGTGGAGAGACTTTATTGCTTGAGATATTCTTTGCCTCTTGATTATGGAAAGTCCCTTAAAAGGTGAGAGTGGGGCTGTCTTATGGGGGATTTGTCCTGGGAAATTTCTGATTTGCTCCATGTCCTTAACTTGGAACCCAAGGTTTCGGCACAGAATGCTGTCTCCTTAGGATTTTGTCTCACACATTTCCGGTTACTTATTGCTTTTCAAAATAATAATAATAAAAAAGTATTAGCTTATGACATGAGAAATGGCTAAGAGGAGATTTTTGGAGATGAAGTGTTTGGTTGACTTCACTTTTTTTTTAATTTATCTATCTCTTAAAAACAGAAAATAAGCTAAATAAGAATTTTAAAAAGATTTTAAAAAAATTCAAGAAATTAAAAAACAACATTTTAAAAAAAATTCAAAAAAAGCTTTAGAAAGGAACTTTTTCTTTTTTAAAATACGTCTTTTTTTTAAATTTTTTTATTTCAAAAATATCCTCACTTATTAAAAATAATTCTACCATTATTTGTTTTCATTTTTATATGATTTATTATTAATTATAAATTTTATGTTATATAAAAATACTTTTTATATTTCTAAAAATTTGTTTTAAATATAAAAAATAAAGTTAACTTTTGTCCATTGTGAACAAAAGAATTTATTATTAACAAAAAAATATTTATTAAATACTTTTTAAGGTAATTTTAATCAAAATTAGAACTTATATTGTTTTGTCAAATAGCTTATTTATAAAAAAAGCTTATAAAAGTAAAATTTAAAAATTATTATATTTTACAAAAACTTAATAATAGTTTTTAAGTTAAAAAAAAACTAAGTCAAATAGGTTCAAAATCTACAACAAAAATGGTTGATTTTTGGTGTTCCAAAAAACAAGATAAGTCCCGAGACATCAGAAATCGCATTGCCACAAAATAAAATGTAAATAGAACACATCATAAGTCATTTGTCTCGATAATAAGTGATTTTGAATTTAAATATTGAAGTAGAGCACATTTTATTTTTAATTTGCGAGACTGAATAATTTGTGTATTTTAATTTTGTTTCTTGTGAAAATAATCATTTGATTTAGAATTGTAAATTTTCTAATTAAGCTTTTGGTATAAATGGAGATGAAATCTACAACCCAAATAATCGGTTTTTGGTCCCTGAGAAACAAGGTTGTTAGGTCATTAGAATAGTTATCGTGAGAAAATAAAACATAAATAGAATTATTTAAATTCTGAGTAAAAAGTGAACTCAAATGATAAATAGTTTCTCTTGATAAAATGTGGCTATAAATTGGAGTCTTAAATGACCTTTTATTGAACCAAAATTGAGGTTGAATACATCATATCATAACTTGTGGGACTGAGTAATTTATCTACGTCAATATTTCTCGTAATATATATATATATATATATATATATATATATATAAAGCACTTGATTTAGAATTGTAAGTTTTTTATTTGACATAATATCTAAAACAACTCTTATAATATTTAGATAGTTAAAATGTCATTTATTATTATACCGGATGACACTAATATCATAATTGATAATGTGATATGTTAATTTGATATGATAACATAATTAAGTGACATTTTTTTACTCTTCACATTAACATCGTATACGTGGATATAAAATGATAAGTGACTTAGTCATAAGAGGTTATTTAATCTAAAATAAAAATAATAAGACTTGATTGAATATAATGAAAAAATAAAGATTTATTTAAATATTTTCAAATAAGTTAAAAGTTTTTTTTAGCATTATACTTTTTTATTTCAATTTTTTTATGATAAATTTATTTTAATCTTTTATTAAAATACACAACAACTTAGACAAAGTAGAAATTGTGGTCAGGCCCCAACCCATAAAGCCCGGGCACTGCTTGTGGCTAAAGAATCCTTCCAGAATTCCGGTGGGACTCTGCCTTTTTACATTTCCCTTCTGGAATATTTGTCCAGCAAGAACCTTAATTAGGTGCTCCTGTTAAGTTGAATTTTCGTTAGAATATTTAAGCCATTAATTAATAAATAATAACTCCTTGCCCATCCATAATGATTTTGTGTCTTATGTTACATGTTTCGTGTTACAGTATTGAATTTATATTTGATACATTGTGAATTTATAATATTAAAAATTAATTATTATTATCCTATTTAATAAATAAATTTAAAATTTTGAACATTTATTTTAACATAGTTATGAAATAACTTTATGTAATTAAGTGATTGTATATAAGTATTAAACATTGACATACTGACGAGTATGCAAATGGTTAATTCAGTGAAGTTGATTCTGAAAATATCAAAAATAAAAAAATTGAACTTTTACTTTAAAAAATCAAAATTGAACCTAATCAAAATAATTGAGAAATTCGTCAATTTGACAATATATCAAATATAAATTTTTAAATATTTCATATTTCTTTGTTATAATAAAAAATTTTAAATTATTTAATAAAAAGTAATTCTGTTTCATTTCACTATGTCAATTTCAAGATTTTAATTTAAAAATTTCAATATAAAATCTTGAGTTCTAATAGTTGGGTTGGGGGTAATATTTGCGACATGTTGTAGGGTTGCAAGGTGCATCAGAGCTATACCGGAAAGATATGGGCCAGGCTATATATTTGGTCAATGATTCAATGGTCTCCCCATTGTTTATAGCAATGGCCGATGGGCTTATTCCCATGTTCGGATAAAGCGACCCGGCCTTGAGCCCCGGAGTTCAAGTTTTCAGGTTTTGTCGAAAAGAAAAAGCATTATTTTTATATAAAAGAAATGAAATTAATTCGTAAAAAAAAAATTCGATTAAGTTTGTAATTGAGGTTGCTCCTTCATTATTATAAAAAAAATATTAAAATGTTGCATAATATAATGGTTTCAACTATTGTCAAAATGTAAATATTTATAACCTTATTATTGATTTCACATATGCCATTTCTAGTTGAATAATTTTTAATAGTAGGCTTTTGAATTTTTTGTAATCGAGTTACAAAATACAATGATAAAATTATAACCGTTTGAAAATTAATGATAGATTTGATCATTAGTCAAAATAAAGTGGTAAATTTAAATATTATTCTAATTATAAATATTAAATGAATTTGAAAATTCAAATTCTTTTATTTTCTAATGGAATATTCTTTTAATGTTGACTTTTGAATCAAATTACAAACTACGATATATAGTAAATCACTCGTTCAAAACTTAGTGATAAGTTTGATCCATCTCTCAATATAAAATGACAAATTCGAATCTTGTATCAAATTTACATGAATTTGAAAAATTTTAAGCCAAATTCATAGTCAATATTAACTCAATTTTTTATGGTAAAGGAGAGGATTTGAACCTTATGAATAGAAAGAGATTTAGAGAGCATAAAAAGAAATTTGTATGAGATTTTACTTACAAGAAGGTAATATATTTATAATTATGAATTTTCGTATTATATATAAAACGTAAAAATGCTCTTGGATTATACCCACTTATTCAATTAAGTTTTTTATTTTTTATTACATTTAAATGAGTTTTTAAATTTTTATTTTGAGTCAAATAAACTCTTAATCTTAATAAAAATTAACCGTCGTCAAACCCAATGCTAATTAGTACTTTTTGTTTATATGACATATGATGTGGCTTAGTTATGTGGTTATGTGGTAGAACTAGAACTAGAACTAGAATCGCCGATCACTCATTGTTGGTCACTGATTGGCTAATAGCGTTAAAATAAAAAAAATAATTTTTCAAGGCCTCTC